AATCTTTCAGTTTGTGCAACTTGTCCTGTGGTAATCTACATTCCCCGATCTCCGAATCGATCTCCAAACCCAGAAAACTAAGACACGTGGCGGGTCCCACGGTCTTGTCCTCCGCCAAAGGAACCCCCATCGTCTGCGCTACCCATTGGAACACCCGTAGTATCTGCTTGCACCGGTCTGAGCCTCGAGGGCCGACACATAAGAAGTCGTCCAGGTAATGCACAACCGTGACCCCGGCCGATTCCCGTCGCACTACCCATTCCAGAAAAGTGCTAAACTTCTCGAAATAGGCGCACGAGATGGAACAACCCATCGGCAAGCACAGATCCACAAAGAAGCCCCCTTCAAAACAACACCCCAAGAGGTGATGACATGACGGGTGTATGGGAAGCAGCCGAAACGCTGCCTCCACGTCCACCTTCGCCATCAGCGCTCCCCGCCCAGTTCTCCGTACCAACTCGACTGCCCTGTCGAATGATGTGTAAGATACTGAACAGAGTGCTGCGTCAATGTCATCATTCACCGATGACCCTTTAGGATACGATAAGTGATGAATCAACCTGAATTTGCCAGCCTCTTTTTTGGGGACCACTCCAAGTGGGGATATCCGCAACTCCGCTAGAGGAGGATACGGGAACTGCCCCGCCATCCTCCCCAAAAGGACCTCTTTGGCCAGCTTTTCCCGCACTACCTCCGGGCGTTCCCGCACCGATTTAAGATTGGCACAAACCGCCCCTGGTTCCTTAACCGTGAAGGGGATTACGAAGCCCTCCCTAAAACCCCGCCACAGGAACGCTGCATCCTCCTGGTTAGCGTAGTGCCTTAGCCAAGGCAACATCGCGCCTAACCTCACTGGGGACGCCCCCAGTTGCAGCCGAGGTGGCCGCCACCCCTGCGGTTCCACCCCCTGCATTGAGCTTACCTTTCTTGAAGCATCTGCTGGCGCCGTGATTCCCTCCGCAGCCTGAACACTCGTGCCTAAATCGGCATGAAGTGCCCCACTTGCATTGACCCTCGTTGTACGTCCAGCACAGGCCCTTCTTTTGTCCCGCTGGCACAGCCACGCCTGAGGCTGTCCCAGCTGCCCCGAGAAAGGGCGCAGCCTTCTGCGCCATCATAATCCTCAGCCATAGCGGCAGGTCCATTTGGTCCCACCGCATGGTAGGGTTGGCCGCCAAGCGTTGCCGAAACTGCTCATCATATTTCCACCACGCTAGGCCCCCATACGTCCGATACGCATCGCCTATCCCATCCAAGTAGCAGAACAGTTGCGAACAGCTCCCTGGCCTTTTTTCCCCTATCACACTAGCCAGGATGCAGAACGCCCTCAGCCAATTCCCAAAAGTCTTCGGTATCTTGCGATACCTCCGCCTTTTTTCTTCCTCCTTCTTGGCGTCCTTCTTATCCTCCTCCTTCAAGTCTAGGAATTCCTCCAAAGGGAGCAAGGAAAAAATTTCCATGAACTCCCCCTTCCAAATCTTTTCTTTGACCTCTAATTTCAGGTGACAACCTAGGGGGCCCGCAAAAGATACGTGTACGTTTTGACGTGCCGCGTCCGAAATGTCGCCACACCCGACCGCCGACTCAGCCCCCCCATCCGCCGCACCGCACGCCACTACCGCTTCGCTTGCCTTGCCACCGCTCGCCGGTTGGACCCCCGCCCCTATTGCCTTAACCGCCGTGTCAGGGGACCATACCTTTCCGAACTGCAATGGTGATTCCCCCTTCCCTGACCATGCCTCCAATAGTGTTTTTAAATAGCCCAATAACTGTCCGGAGTGTTGTGCAGATATGGACTCACCGTTGGAGACCCCGGCCGTGCCAGGCCCCGGGGTTGCCGACCTTCCGTCCACCCGGTCAGGCTCCGGAGCATCCGGTTGACGCCGACTCCCATCCGCCTGATCCCTCCTCAGGACCGTAGGGGTAGCGCTCCGCGACCTGTAAGGAGAAGACAACCTGGGTAGTCTGTACTGCTGGGCCCCTACCCGTCCTTCCTCCCTACGCTCCTTTCCGCAGTTCCAAGCTTCGCACCGCCTTGCCGGCCTAACTTCCCTGCTCCTGGCGGCCCGCTGCTGTCCTAGCGCACTGTCACCCGAGGACCCAGATGCGCTGCGCCGCCTCTGCCCCCGCCCGTCCTTGGAAGCGGACCTCCTTCTCCCCACCCTGCAGCTGGTCCTGGAACCACTGCGCCTGCTATGCGATGGACTCCTGTCCCTGCTCCACTGCCGATCAGCTGACCTCCTGCTGCTGCCGGGCCTGGCGCCACCGCTGCGCCGCTCCCGTCTGTACTCCTCCCGCTCCCTGGTCCCGCTGCGGTGCCCCCCATGAGAGCAGCCTGAGGGGCCCAACCTTCCACTGCTACTGCTCCTGACTTCCCTATCCCGCGCTGTACTGCGTGTGTCCCCTTTCTCCGCTGTACCTGGCCATCTGTTGGCCGCTGCGCCTGGCTCAGATGCCCCTTGCACCCCCTGGCAGCCCGCTAGAACCTCTGCCGCTCCCTGTCCGATCCTGCCGTCTTCCTGCCGCCCCTCCTCCCTATGCCTGGCACTGTCGCCCGTCCCGGCCACACCTAAGGCCGCCCGCGAGCTGGTCCCGCTGACCAGGCCACCCCTGGGTTGCTGGGGGGCCGCCTGCGCTGGAACATCCCGCGTCCCGCCCGCCACCATGCCCCTCAGTGACCAGAGTGAAGTGCTGCCGACCACGTGTTCCTCCGCTCTCCCGGCCGCCATTCCCGCCGTGCTGGAGCCCTCCTCTGGGGTACCTGTGCTGCCTGCCGCCATCTTGGGTGGGGCGCGTTTACCAGCAGGCCCGCGCTTTGCGGCCGTCCTCGCCTGACCGGCACCGCGGCGCACAGGCGGCGCCGGCCGCTTCCCGGTGCTGTCCGACCCTCTTGCCTCCTGGCTGGGTGCCGACGGGTTCCTCCGCCGCCGTGGAGCGGGCGCCATGCCCGGACTCAAGCGCTGGGGCGGCCGTGCTCTTCGCGCCGTCCTGCGCTCCGCTGGTGCTGGAGGGGGAACTGCAGCCCCCAGTTGTTCATGCAGCCAGGCCAGCCCTCGGTCCTTCACTGCTGCTCTCACTCCAGGATCTCATCTAGGGACGCCATGGACCTGCAGCAAAAGAAAAAAGAAAAACCCCACAGACCTGACACAACTGACAGGTAAGTGAAGTTCTGATTAAAATGGCCACTCTCTAAGATGGCCGTTATTTCAACCCCCTTTGATCCCGCCCCCAAGCTCCATTAGCTTAAGCCAACCCCTAACTGACTGCACCTGCCCACTCCTGGCTCTGTCAAGGCCCACTCCCCTTACTTCGTTGTTCCATGGGCTTCATTACAAAGTTAATACTCTTATCCTATGTAACTCAATTCCTTTAGGGTGTTAACCTATACGCAACTTACTCATCAGAAATTCATGTGAAGACAGCCCATGTTGTGATGTTATAAAACAGGCTTAGAAGGTCATAAGGATATAGCCTCTGGGGTAGGACATACCTAAAAAGAGCAATACCACTTTCCTGAGTAACAACAAAGAGCTGAAAAGAATGAAAAATAAGCAAAAATCAATAACATTTAACAAGATGCAAGGCATGGTAAGTGAGTGAGTGAGATGGATATGGCCTGCCACTGTCAAAAATTGAGATAGCTGAAGCAGCAGTCTTTCATGTTAATCACCAGACTCCCATGAGTGGCAAAGCAGCTTCACAGCCAGGGAAGGTTGTACACCGGAGCTGGGTGCCCCTCTGGCCCTGAGCCTGCGTGAGGGCCAACACCTTTAGTTCACAGACCAGGAAACTGTTATAGTCCAAGTCTAACCCCTTCTGTAAGGGGACGGAGGATCCAGATAATAGTGCCCGCTTCTCGCAGGCAATCTTCCACCTGTGTGGACGATGTGAGGCAGGTATGCCTCTTATGGCTCTCAGCCCAGGTGGGTTAGCAATAGATTGCTCTGGTTGGTACACACTTAATACCAGGACAAGAGATAAGTTGGCCCTCATCTTTTGGTGGTATGCCTTACTCATTCTCGAGTAGCTATACTGTTCCCTTCAATGTGAGAATGACACCTAGGTCTTCATATCAGCGATTAGATGTGTTTGACTCACCTCCATGGGGCAGCACTACTGGGTTATTCGACTTTCGTCAGTCGAGGCCCGTTTGTTATATGTGCTGTGGAGCGGGGTAAAATGAGAGAGAAAGTGGAAAAAAGGATAGGAGGGAGAGGGGCAGCAGAGGAAGGGGGAGGCGTTCATCTTAGCACTACAATTCTTCATCACATGATAGTGAGCTTGGGAATCCCAGGAGACTAACAACGGTAAAATGGTGAAATATTCAGAGATAGGGCGGTTAACTAATGCAGAATGGTGAAATGATCCAAGATAGGGCGGTTAACTAATGCAGAATGGTGGAATATTCCAAGATAGGGCGGTTAACTAATGCAGAATGGTGAAATATTCCAAGATAGGGCGGTTACCTAATGCAGAATGGTGAAATATTCCAAGATGGGGCGGTTACCTAATGCAGAATGGTGAAATATTCCAAGATAGGGCTGTTACCTAATGCAGAATGGTGAAATAATCCAAGATAGGGCGGTTAACTAATGCAGAATGGTGAAATAATCCAAGATAGGGCGGTTACCTAATGCAGAATGGTGAAATAATCCAAGATAGGGCGGTTACCTAATGCAGAATGGTGAAATAATCCAAGATAGGGCGGTTACCTAATGCAGAATGGTGAAATATTCCAAGATAGGGCGGTTACCTAATGCAGAATGGTGAAATAATCCAAGATAGGACGGTTACCTAATGCAGAATGGTGAAATATTCCAAGATA